ATGGTCCATTTGGGGCTAGTGACACTAAAATAGTGAACGGCTATTTGCCGCCAACCAAATTGCTATTTGCCGCCAACCAAAAAAAAAAAAAGTATATATGTACATCTTTGGTTAAGAAATTTCACAATCTACAACATATCCAACTTTCAGAAAACGTATTGAATCAGAAAAAATCGACGCTCGCCGGAAAAGTCGCCGGAAAACCATCGGGAAAGCCCATCCTCGACGTAAACTGCGGACACGCATCCATGAATCATCACTAAACAGGTGCGTCAACCTCCCGTCGTCCTCAATCGTCGGAAAACAAGTAAGTTTACTTTTTTCGGCAAGTTTTTCAATTTTCCGGCAATTTTTCCAGTTTTCCGGCGAAAAAACACGGTGGGACGAAAAAAAATAGCGGCCGGAACGCCGCCGGGCCGAAAGAATTTTTCTGCCGGCGCGACGCCCAGCCGAAAAATTCTTTCGGCCCGGCGGCGTTCCGGCCGCAAATTTTTTTCGGCCGGTCGCCGAACGCGCCGCCGGAAAAATTCACGGCGGCGCGTTCGGCGACCGGCCGAAAAAAATTTGCGGCCGGGGCGACGACGGGCCGAAAAAATATTTCGGCCGGGCGTCGCGCCGGCCGCAAAAAAGTTTCGGTCCGGCGGCGCACCGGCGCATCTGGTGGAATTGCAATGGATCTCCATGATTCCGACAATATAATGGTGTGTGGGGTTTTCCGATCCAAATCATCATTTGTGCTATATATCTGATTCATATAAGAAAAGAATTGATTAACTAGATAGAATGGAAATTGTAAGTCAGGTTTTCTGCGACTTTGACGGTATGAGCGATAGCTCACGAGTCATGACTTCTATATGAATCTCTCTATGTAGCAATCCGGACATATAAAATATGTTCCTTAGCAGACCTAAGCTCTCTAATGACGCGGAAGGCCATCGTTTCTGGGAATAGCTAGTGGAAGGGTTTGCTAGGAATTCAAAGTCTTACCTTACAAGATTGTTAGCCTGGGTCTTATAGTGATCAAGAGCGAGTTGCTCCTAGCAAATTTCGCTTATCAGTCTGCACATTGTTGATGTTCTTACAAAGTAGTAATAACGATGAATCCATGTTGGGCAGGTATCTGCCAAGTTAGGTATTCTCGTTTAGGAAAGTCAATTCGTTAAAATTTGAAACTTAAAGAAAAAAAAAATACAAGTAAATTCTATCACTTGCACTCTAAGTAATTAACTTGACCAAATATCTATAAAAATTACAAAAAAATGATGGAAAACAACATGAGACGGATCGGAAGGAGAACCCATTGTCATAAATCAGTTGGTCCCAATAACTCGAGTTGTTGGGAGAAGGTTATGCTGGATCTTATACAGGCCCGTGTATGGTGCTTAACCACTTCCTTACACGCCCCCTCAAACGAAAGCCGACTTATGGGCTTGAAGTTTGCACAGGCCAGCCCTACCATGTGCCTGAAAGACAACGATTAATATTGGGGGTCGTGAGGACTTGAACACGTGACCTCAAGGACAAACTAGCTCTAATACCATGTCATAAACCAGTTGGTCCCAATAACTCGAGTTATTGGGAGAAGGTTATGCTGGATCTTATACAGGCCCGTGTATGGTGCTTAACCACTCCCTTACACCCATTACTACAACCCTGCTCATCGATCGGGGAGGGTCTTGCATTCGCCGAAACTAGATGACTTAACATGACCTACTGAAAAATGAAAATTACTAGCATAACCTTATAATGATTACTCCTTGTGAACTAGATGAGACTTCCTCGCAAAATAATCAGGGAATATTATTGTTGTGTCGTGATTATTTGATAGGGAAGTGCAGGTTGAAACTTTCAAGTACCACTCGCCATCGATCTGCCGCCGAACTGCCACTAACAAGGGCAGTGTGGCATTTGCCCGTCGTCAACTCAACTTTTGATGCCATATCCCTAAACTACATTATTGGTTTTCAATAATTGTTTGGACCATTGTTGAAAATGGTGTTGGTATGGTCGAGCATCCCATTGCACGTTGACCTGCACATGTGCCTACTTTTTTTATTTTAGTTACGCTCGATCGGTTTAGTTTATGTGTACGTGTCACAATGTAGTTAGTAAAGTAGTCCTATCTTATCCTCATTAGAAAACGAAATTATAGAACTTGATATTACAATAAACTGAAAGATTTGTAAACGCGATTAACACACTCACGACACGAGATTTACGTGGTTCTTCTCATTCGGTGTGAACGAGCTTACTCCACGGAGAAGTTTTGCTATCTCAGCTTTTTACTTACTTAGCGGCAACAGGTTACAAGTTACATATTTATACCCCGTACACACTCAACTAGGGTTATAATAAACACACTCGACTAAGGGGAAAAGACAAGTAAACCCTTAAACCCTAGCCGACTACACACTAAGTAGTATACGTCCTTTACACTCCCCCACAAGCTGAGGCATGAAGGTTACAAATGCCCAGCTTGGAAAGAAGTGTATGGAAACGATCACCTGCGAGACCCTTAGTGAACAGATCAACTAGCTGGATCTCCGTGCGAATCTTCTAAGGAAGGATCTCGTGAGAAGTGACATGATCACGAACGAAGTAGCAATCCATCTCGACATGTTTCGTCCTCTCGTGAAACACCGGGTTAGCCGCGATGTGGAGGGCTGCCTGATTGTCACAGTGAAGAACAGTGGGAGCATCACAGTAAACTCCCATATCACGCAAGAGAGCACGAAGCCAGATGACCTCGCTGACAGTACTAGCCATGGCCCTGTATCCTGCTTCAGCAGAGGGGCGAGCAACCACGGTCTGCTTCTTCGTACGCCAAGAAACGGGTGCACCATCCAGAGTAACGAAATCTCCAGTCGTTGAACGACGTGTAGACTGACAACCACCCAAGGTAGCATCACAGTATGCTGTTAACTGAAGAGGGCCACGAGAGGGAAGAAGAATGCCCTGCCATGGAGCATTTTTCAAATATCGAAGAACACGCTCAGCACCAGGAACATGAGCGAACGTAGGAGCATGGACATACCGACTGAGAATGTTAACAGCATAAACGATGTCTGGACGAGTGACGGTGAGGTACTGAAGATGCCCAATCGACCTACGATAGGCGGCAGCATCGTCCGCAGGCACCAGGTCATCATCGGTTCCAAGCCGAGTCAGCTGATGATGCTGCTCAATTGGGAAGGCACTTCGACGGCCACCCGATAGACCACTATCACGCAAGAGATCCAATGTGTACTTGCGCTGACAAAGAGCAATGCCCGCACTCGAACGGGCTACCTCGATACCAAGAAAATACTTGAGAGGCCCCAAGTTTTTAATACCAAACTGTTGATGAAGGGCATCCTTAACCTGCTGGATGAAGCTCAAATCATCACCGGCAAGGATCACATCATCCACATAAATGAGGGCAACAACATAGGTGCCTTGATGACGACGAACAAATAACGAATAATCCGCTCGTGACCTGCGAAAACGAAGACCAGTGAGAGTGGTGACGAACTTCGCATACCAATTTCGGGAGGCCTGCTTGAGGCCATAAATGGATTTATGAAGGCGACAAACGCGGGAGTCACCAGGAGCAGCAAAACCCTGAGGAATCTGCATGTATACTTCTTCATCGAGATCTCCATGCAGAAAAGCGTTATCAACGTCGAGCTGGTGAACAGCCCACCCACGAACTGCAGCAACAGCAAGTAAACAACGAACACTGACCAGCTTGGCAACTGGAGCAAAAGTATTGTGGTAATCTATCCCTTCGGTCTGAGTGAAACCCTTTGCTACTAACCGTGCTTTGTAGCATTCAATCGAGCCATCTGGGTTGAACTTGAGCTTATACACCCACTTGGATGCAACAACGCGCTTACCTGGAGGGAGACTAACCAGGGTCCACGTTCCATTCCCAACGAGAGCATCGATCTCTCTTTGCATGGCCGCTCGCCATTCCTCATACTTGACCACGTCTCGAAAGTGAGTTGGCTCGACGTGGCTAGATACAGCCACCAAGAAACTTTGATGAGGCGGTGAGAACCGGTCATAATTGACATAGTGAGACATGGGAAAGGGAACATTGGACGGCGGCAACTGGCGTAACCGTCCAAACAACGTGGCACTCGCCGTTCTCTATCACTACGACGCGGACCAACTACCGGCTGAACAGGAGGACTAAGTTGAGGCTAGGCAGTAGGTTCGGGCGGAGTAATTTGAGGAGAAGTAGGCGTGGTCGGTGGCTGGGGTGAAGGTACAGCAACATGTGGAGACTCATCCACGTCATTGCCATGCAAGGAAGTGGACGAGGGAGAATTCTCAACATCGTCGACCAACGGAGGCACGGATGGGAGGACGGGCGTGACAGCCACTGGAGATAGTTGCTCGTGGAAGGGAAACTGATTTTCCACAAAATGGACGTCGCGAGACGTGTAGAACTTCTGAGAAGTAAGATCAAAGAGGCGATAGCCTTTCTGAAAGGCTGGATAGCCCATGAAAACTGAACGCCTACCACGTTCATCAAATTTAGATACTCTTTTATGCGTGTCCTTGCCATACGCAAGACAACCAAGAACTCGAAGGTGAGAGTACGACGGGGGCTTCCCAAACAAGACTTCATATGGTGAACGATCACGCAGAACTTTGGACGGTAGACAGTTGATGAGATAGGTTGCCGTCAAAACACATTGTCCCCAAAATCGTAAGGGAATATTAGCTCGAAACCGAAGAGCCCGTGCTGTTTCAAGAAGATGTCGATGCTTTCGCTCGACCACCCCATTCTGCTGAGGCGTATCAGTATACGACGTTTATAGAACAATCCCGTGCTCGGCATAGAAGTCACGAAAGCCACTGGTTTGAAACTCTGACCCATTATCAACCTATATCCTGGCAACCTGCTGATTAAACTGAGCACGTACCATTTTGATGAACATTTTCAAGAACCCCTCGACATCAGACTTGTAATTCATAAGATATACCCATGTACCTCTGCTAAAATCATCAACGATAGTGAGAAAATAACGTGCTGTGTTCTGAGTAGGAACTCTGAATCCTCCCCAATATCCACATGAATTAATTCAAAACAACGACTAGTCTTAATGGAATTCTTAGAGAACGGTAAACGGGTCTGCTTGGCATGCATACAAGAATCAAAGTAACATCCTTGCACTTATTCTGAACAGAACGAAATAACGATGGTGTCTTCTTGAATGACGGCTGCCCCAACCTTGAATGCCAAAGCTCCCACATTCCGGCTTCACTACTAGCCGCCAAGACTTGAGGCTTCTCGACACAACATAGCTGAAGGTAATATAATCCATCACGAAGTTGACCCGTCCCAATCGTCTTCCTGGAGTGTAAGTCCTGGATGACACAAAAGTTGCGTAAAAACGTTAAGGCCACATCAAAATCCCGAGTAAGCCTGCTAACTGACGGCATATTACACTTAAACAACGGAAGGTTGAGTACTCGACTGAGCTTCATGCCATTCGATAAACTGACTTCCCCAATTCTCTTCACTGTGACACTATCTCCATTTGGTATACTAAAGGTAGATAACCAGGAACTTCCGTAGAATTTTCTAACAGAGATTCATCATTTGTTATATACTCGTTGCAACCTGAGTCGATAATCCATTCAGATGACGAAAGGAACTTACCTGCCATACTCACTTGCGGCTCGGAAGAAGAAGACTGAGTGGCCTGACCGCCACCATTATTGAGGAATTCCAGCAATTGTTGTACCTGCTCAGGATCAAGGCCAGGAATAGAAACGCCAGCTCCAACCGATGACTGGGCCGCGCGAGGATGGCTGGGACACGCTGGCCGATCCTTTTCTCGCTCACGGTCACGTTCTCCAGCACGGGGCCGCTTGTCGGGCCACCCAATAAGATCGTAGCAGGTCTCCTTGGTATGACCTGCCTTTTGAAAGTGGCTGCACCTCGGAATACGATCTCGACGATCACCGCTGCAAGGCCATTCATCCCTCTTGTGCGTTTCGGAGGGCGCACGATCCTGGCGCACTTGGAAAGCTGCTACGTCAATTGAAGGACGCTATTGGCAACAATCTGCCGATGTTGCTCTTCTGTAGAGACTAGTCTATACGCTTCCGCAAGGGTGGGAGTCGGTTTCATAGAGAGGATTTGTGTTTTAACAGTCCCGAACACGTCGCCGAGTCCCATGAGGAAGTCGAACAACCGATCGTTCTCAAGGTTACTCATGACCTTCTTGTCGATTTCACAAACGCATAGACCACATGTGCAACGGGGTATAAGAGTAATGGTTTGCATCTCCTCCCAGATTGCCCGCAACTTCGTAAAGAACGTGGAAACTATGAGCTTCTCCTGCCGCAACGTACTCATCATCTGGCGGAGCTCGTATGCTCTAGGCGCGGAACCCCGACCAAACCTTGCTTCGAGATCAATCCACATCTCTCTCGCCGTTTTGGCGTACCTGATCGAGCTCCGCACTTCCTTGTCCATAGCCGTCTTCAACCAGCCCTTAACAAGGGCATCACATTGAAGCCATGCTTCTCGTAACTCACCAGCACCTTCAGGTTTGGCGATGATTCCATCAACGATCCCTAATTTGTTTTTCTCAATTAGGGCCTCAGTCATATCTGTGATCCACTCTCCATAATTGGAGTCATTCAGCAACTCTCCCACAAAAAACTGACCGGGGTTATCGGAAGCTTGAATCTTCAAGGCAGCAGGTATGATCGGAGGTAAGACATTGTTTCCTCCACTGCCGCCGCTAACTATGGTTCTGTCACCCATAACCGAAAGATTGGTTTAGTAAACCAGCTCTGATACCATGAAAGATTTGTAAACGCGATTAACACACTCACGACACGAGATTTACATGGTTCTTCTCATTCGGTGTGAACGAGCTTACTCCACGGAGAAGTTTTTCTATCTCAGCTTTTTACTTACTTAGCGGCAGCCGGTTACAAGTTACATATTTATACCCCGTACACACTCAACTAGGGTTATAATAAACACACTCGGCTAAGGGGAAAAGACAAGTAAACCCTTAAACCCTAGCCGACTGCACACTAAGTAGTATACGTCTTTACATAAACAGTTATTGTAAACATCGATGATGCGAAAGCCAAAAGAAGGAACACAAGACCTGGACTTACGTGGTTTCAAAAGCAAATAGTATGATAATAAATCTACTTTTGTCTTCACCATAAATTAAGTTAATTCAATAATTCTTTTAAATCTCGAAATCTCTCATCATTTTTAGCAAAACGATAATAATCCGTGAAGACATTAGTGGTGGGAGTTATCACATTACTAAATAGTAGGAAGTAAACCTGACTCGAGAACTGTGCGTTTTTTTTATTTTTTATTTGTGTGATCGGAGGAGTATGGCCGAATAGTGAATAAAAATTTGTTTCAATTTTGGAGTTTTGATTAAATTGAAAAATGTAAATGGAGTTTATTTGATGTGGTAACATATTTGATGTTTTAAAGTTAAAAAAATGAGCTTGAGGTGTAATGGATACCGTCTTTTTATATTCAATGTAAGGTCAATGGTTTTCAAATAAAGTAACATTCACTTTTTTCTCGCAAAAACGAACTACTACTCGAAGGTCGCTAATTTTTCCTAAAATTTAGAGGTGTCACGGGATACTCCTAAACCTCATTGGATCCGCCCCCGAGTACCATGAGAAACATTAGCTAGTAGAATTACGGCCAAAGGATATGCATATTTGATATTAATTGAGATAATCGAATAAAAATAACCGTAGTGTTTTTTGCCCAAACAACTTTTATTCTCGCTCTCGGAACAGGTACAATGCTCATAACAAGAAAACCCAATGTGATTGTTCCCATATCACATTATATATGTCTATCTACTATAACAAAATGATGAAATTATTTATTTATTTATTTTTGTAAGACGATAATTTTATTATCATTATATGACTCGTTACAGCGTACGTAGTCATGTAAACAAACATCATGCAAGCTAGAGAGACAACCATTTATTCTAAGAGATTACATCCCTTTAATTTTAGTAAGACTATAGAGCATATGTATATATATATGATGACCTCCATTTTCATACGAAGGAGCGATACATCTATCCATATTGATATTTCCTCTTTTTAACCGGTGCTTTTATTTTCAAGGCAGCCCGTAGAGTTTACGTATGCCCTTGACATCCGCGCTCTGTAATTTCCGCTTGATTTGCCCATAATTCAAGTAAGGGTACATGATCGCCGCCTCGTCGTCGCTGTGAAGAAGCCCTAATGTATGTCCAATCTCATGCACCCCAATTGACTCCAGATCCATTTCCATTGGGCTTGGATCATCGCTCCATTTCTCATCCGCGTCGTAATGGAGACGTCCATAACGTGGCTGGAAAGCATGGGCCGTGGTCCCGTTAGGCCCATCGAATGGAAACCCGTCTCCGTGGTCGCGAGAATAAAACGAAATTTGCATGTCAGCCTTGGCTCTGCCGCCAACATTCTCAAACGTGAGCTCCGTCACATTCTCCCAGCTCCGGAACGCTCGGGCCACGGCGGCCTTGATGGTGGCTTCCTTCAAACCGGCAGGAGGGTTGCTTTTGGGGAACTTGTACCGGAGGTGGTTCTTGTTCCACTTCGGTTTACCTTTGAAGAATCTATAATCCTCGGACTTGTTTTGGTCCTCAGCTAATAATACGGTCATGACAACAAGGCCATGGTCCGAAACGCCGCACCTAGGGATCATCATTTGGGCTGTCGTGGCACGGTCCAGCGCCCCCGAGACCGGGATGCGGTGAGTTAGCTGATATCGCTTGATTGCGGCCTCTAGGAACTCATCGAATTCGTCGTCGTTTTGGTGCGTCGTCGTGGTGGCTACGTTGGTGTCCTTGTGGTCGTCATTGAGGTAGTATCCAAATTTTTGAAGGTAATGTTTCGCGTCACGGAGCCCTTCAATGGATTGGCCTCTGCGGGAACCTTCTAGTCGATGGATGAACCCAAAGGGGTTGTTGCTCGTGTGACCGACTGCAAACGTTGGTGAATTGAGCACAACGAGTGAAACAAGAAGAAATGTGGCTGCAAAAACTCTGAAAAGCGTCATTCTTGACATATAAGTGTGTGTTTGTGTTTATGTTTTTTTTTTGGGAGGATTAGGTTTGGAATCTCTCTTATATATAGAAACGGAGGGGCCATGAAAAAAAGATACTTAGGACTTTAGGATAATAGAATTGATCCTCGTCTACAACTACAAGCTGACATTGTTGTGATGGAAGTGTGGTATGGGTAGGTGGGGTTAATTAGGCAATTGTTATTAATTAGTTAATGGCCGCAGGACTGACTAGCTAGTAGGGTTATGGTTAAAGGCTAGAGACATATATTGTACTTATGAGTTATGACATTTGATTTTTGGCTTGATAGAATTTTGGATCATGTATATCACCATCAACCATCATTATAGAACTATGGTATATCAAAACGTTGATGGTATTTTTTTTTGGGTTATAGGTATAATATGCCTCTCTACTATGACCTTTTATCAAACATGTCCCTCTACTATTTTTTACATTAAACATGCCCCTGTACTTTGTAAAAATGATCAAACATGCCTTTTTGTTAAAATTTTCATCCAAAAACCGTTAACCAAGGCCGAACTTTAGTTTGGGCGACACAAATGACTAAAATACCCATATTAAATTCACTTTAGAATTTTTTTGTTCTTTTGTACAATCAAATCATTCAAATAATTTCACTTTGAAAAGACCGATGGAAATAAAACAGGGGACAAAACTGACATTTTTCCTCCCATTTGCCGATGTCGGGTCATCTAAATCTCGGTTTAACCACGATTGTCGATTTTTTCAATAAAAAATTTTAACAGAAGGGCATGTTTGATAATTTTTTCAAAGTACAGGGGCATATTTGATGTAACAAATAGTAGAGGGGCATATTATACCTATAACTTTTTTTCACCAAGATATACCGTGGGAATCATTAAATGACACTTCTAGTGACATAAAAATATATTAAAGTGGATATAATTATTTGTAGAGTATAGCTAATATGATTTCCCTCTATATATAAAACAGATCCAAATTAAAAACGAATAAGATATAAAAATTAACTTTTAATGGGTGTTATGGGTTCGTGTACGGTGCAAAACTTTGAAATTTATACACTGAATCTTCTCCCGGTAGGGTAAGGGGAGTGAATTAGGAAATGGATCAAATTCAAAAGGAGCAAACAACGATTGAGAAAATCGCCGAGGCGACGATATGAAGAAAATCAACAAAGAAGTCATTATTTGCTTCTTTCTGATAGGGAAGGGTAAACTTTTATTTAATCAATTTGGGTAGAATTGTTAGATTAACAAAATCGTATATCATAACCCTTTTCGTACATATTATTTTGATAAAATACCTCACATCGAAAAACATGTTAATTCAGTGGGGAAAAAAGGTTTTATGCAATCTGGCAATGACCTTAAATACCACAGTTCTCATGCTACTGGTATGGGTTAATAAGCTAGTATGGTCAAGGACAATTAGACCATAGTTATTAGTTAGGCAATTGTGGTGGAGGTCGTATGGGTAAGTGGGTTAATTAGGCAATTGCCATTAAATAGTTAGTACCATCACTGGTTAATTCATGAATTTTTTAAGAGGTGTCATTTTCTAAAAATTAAATGAAATTAATAACTAAAAGAATTTAAAGGAATTTTGATTTATTAAATAAGAAAATATCCAAACTAGTTTTTTTTTTTTTTATAAATGGGAGGTAAGAACCAAGGAACTGTTCTACCAGGAACAACCACGGGCAAACGCCCAGCTAGCAGCTAAACCTCAACATCCGCACGAAGGCAGTGTTGGGAAAACTTGTTCACGTATACTATTTTCTTGCAACACAAGCAAACACATAAGATTAAGAAAAACATGCAAAGACACATGCAAACGTCCTAGCCGATAGAATTCACTATCTCTCCTTAAAGAATCTTATTCCCCTCAAGTACCCAAGGTTGTGGAATGATTCCTCCCAAGATAGAAAGGACGTACCTTTTCCGGCGTAGCGGTACCTCAAACCCCGGAAACCATCGAACGCAGCGAAACGGCGAGAACCACACTTGACTCAATTTTCTCTTTGAAAAGAATGCAGAAAAACTAGTTTTGGGTTTTGGCAGAGTTTCGGCACCGGGAAAAATCCATGTAAAACTCGTAGTTAAAACTAGAGGGGGTATGGTGCTATTTATAGAAAATGAAGGGATGCATTGAAGGGAGGCAACTCTTCATATGGGTGGTTACACCCCAACCAACACATTGGTTCATGTTTGAAATAATGAACCATTGCATCGGTTCGGCCCATGGTAGTTGGACCGGTTTGGTTATTCCAACCGCCACATCGGTTCGGTTCGATTTGGTTCAACTCAGTTTGGTTTGGTCCGTTTGGTACACAAATCAATTTAACCGATTAACCACATATTATATCAAATCGATCGAATTCGAGGCCATGCCTTCCCACATCTTACCAACATGGTACTTCAAGAGACTCTCTTGAAACTTTCCCCTTTTATTTCCATTCACACCACTAAAAATCCCAACAATCCCCCACATGAATGGAGAATGTTGTACTTTAAAAACTATGCAAAATATCGTGTGATTCTCGACTAAGAATTAGTTGCATCGGAATAGGTAGGTTTCCCTTTGAACCTTCCTTAGTGAACATATATCGAGTATACTCACCAATCGGTAGATGTGATATCTTTGAACCGTCGGTTTTGCTTGTATACTAAGACAACATATGTCACACACCTAACTCTTATCCGTTCACTGGTTCTCATTGATGTGTGCGTTTCAGCCATGAACACCGCCTGGTCTCATGAGTGCTTAGAGAACTGACCTTCTTTTATTCTCCTTGAAGCGGCTCCACTTCACACTCACATAGGTGATTTCTAAACATGTATTCCGAAAATACACTATTTGATCACATCCTGTGTCAATCTTAGAAACCATTAAAAACCTTCCATCTTTAGGTTTACCCTTATAGTTGGACATTGTCTCATCATGAGAATGGAGTTTGAATAATTTGACAATGTCGGACCATCATTCACAACATTGTTTTCTCCTTGAACCTAGAGGTTGGCTCTGCCAATCCTGCTTAGGTAGAGTTACCGCCATGAAGATTTGTCCTAGGCCACGAGTCTATTCCCTTCGATGCTTTAACAAATTTCTAGGTGGGCCCCACATTTGTTATCACTTGATCTACATGATCAACTTAGATAACTTCGCTAGAAATTGACCTTAGTGTTATGTTCCCATTATCAATGACGAGATTTTTCACATAACACTTCTAGCCCTTGCAATAACCATTTTGTGCACAAATGCGTTTTATTAAGCCAAACTACTCAACTTCACCGGTCTTAGAGTTTAACTTGGACGTTTTCCAAGATACTGCTCCTCGTTAACCATAAATGCCTATCCATTAATGGACTATGGCTTTTGGTTCACCCAGTGAGTTCCTTTGGGTAAAATTCACCAAAGACTCGTCTCTTTTCGATTCACTACACATCATGTGTGTTTGCCTTGATTTTATTGCCTTGCAATAATCTTAACACATGGCAACGGTGTTGAAGTCTCTCTACTTCATAAACCTTAGAGTACTTGATTTTCACAAGTATCTCTTCAAATGTAGTGACATCTATGACTTAACTTAGAATTTACGTAAAACTCCTAAGTATTCACATCACTTTACTTTGGAATTACCCAAGCGACATTCCACATTACTTTCCCCCAATTTATCCCCCACATTTCAACTATTTCGCCATAGTTGTTGAAACCAACGTTTCCGGTTTGGGGAATGTTGTTCATATACATTTATGTATATGGTCAAAATCATCTCTTTGGGAAGAGTGGATCAACATCAATAAATATTCTAGCCTCTGACATAACGTCAAAATATGCTAGAGTTTACTCATAAGTTATACCCTTGGACTAGGTTAACTCCACAAGGTTTAAGGACACTTACTTTCTCATTGGACACCTTCATACTTTCAAGTATGACTTCGCTTACCTTTCCACTTTTGTCTTATGAATAGGTTTGCGTCCCATTGTAGGGTCTTGAGATAGTAGCCGAAACAATAGGCTCTTCTCCCCCACAATTCTACTCTTTGCCAAACATCATGGGATAATCCCATTTTTTTTTTTCTGGTTTTACTTATTGAACTTGCCAACCACTATATGTAACTAATTGTTTACCAATGGTATGATCTCACTCGATTAGCATACCACAAACAATTCAGATTTTTATTAGAAAAAATCATCCAATTACTTACCAATGGTATTGATCTAGGCAACTTGAGACGTCATAAGTAATTCAGATGCATTCCAGTAATGGAAATCCCATCTAATTACTTACCAATGACATCTCATATATGTAACATGATGTACCACAAGTAATTCAAACGAATTTCCAATTCAATTGTCTAATTACTTTCCAATGGTATAAACTTCATGAATATACCATAAGTAATCCAAACTTTAAGTTCAATAAGGTCATCTCAATTGAGCTCTCATGCCAAATTGTTTTCCAATGATATATACCATAAACAATTCTGACACATAGCTACTTGATGACGACCATCATTTGGCAAGCTTATTAAATCGTTATAAGGAGCAATCATAGCATCATTTTCCTTGCCCTCATGGCATAGGAAACATCAAGTCCTAAACCACATACATGATAAATAAATTACCATATCTTTACAACTATCATAGGAACTAGAATTCCTCATCGCTTATAGCTTTCTTGTAATGCAATCATTTAGACGTGCATTTACCAAACTTCATCTCCACTCAATGGAGGTATCTTTTCGTACTATGTTCAATTACTTTGAACATAACATTTGCATTTACATTTGCAACAACTTAGGCTTAGATATACTTGAATACAAGTTCTCACAAGCCTCTCGTCATAGGTTTCATACACCTATAATTGTTCAAAGTTTCCCACTAGTAGTTTATTACTATCCAAACCACCGTTACTTAGAGTCCATGAAGGACTATCATAAGTACTTCCATCATCTCATGCATCACCTTGAATGAAAAGGTGTCC